AAGCTTTCATCCACACTAGTGTTGGATGGTTTGTTTTGGTTTCCTTTAGGGCAATATTTTTCAATAAAAACAGCTATGCAAATCACTTAGTTATTAAACTAATCATTTCTTTTAAGTTATTAAACTAATCCTTTCTTTTACATTTTAGTATTAGCTATACAATAATATACCCTATTTGCTGGTCTTCATATTTGAACTTGAGGCTTCTAATATGGAAACCTTGTAGACACAAGAATTTGTGTTAATACAAAGTTCCATTAACTAAGACCAACTTAGATATTAAACTAATCCTTTCTTTTACATTTTAGTATTTCGCTATACAATACTATACCCCTCTTTACTTGTCTTCATATTTGAACCTAAGGCTTCTAATATGGCAACCCTATAAAAACAAGAATTTGTGTTAGTATGAAGTTCCATTAAGTAAACTAAGATCTAGAATTTAAGTTAAAATCAGTCCATGATTCTTTATAACCAGTGAACTTAAGTCATAAAAGCTCAGATACACACTTTAACTCACAAATAGACAATTAAAATATAGTCAAATTTTCAATTGAAATACAATTCCTTTTGAACGGCAAAAAATAATAATTTAAAACGTAAAATCCACGTGTGTCACCATTTTTTTATTATTATTCACATGTTTTATTCACATAAACTAATTTATTTCGACCGCACCATTTTTCCCAACAAACTGAGAAAATTCCACAGTAGATATGTAGCCTCTTCGAACTGGTGCAATTGAAGTTATCAAGAAGTCGATTAACAGGAAGGATTCCAGCAGATATAGGACAGATGAGCTGCGTAGAATCACTTGATCTGTCATGAAACCAGCTTTCAGGTTAGCTTCCTTCAAGCATGTCCCAGTTAAGTTTTCTCATTATCTTGAACCTGTCAAATGACAACTTTTATGGGAGAATTCCGTTAAGCATCCAGTTGCAAAGCTTTTTAGCTGATGCATTTATCGGGAATTTTCCACTCTATGGGCCTCCGCTGACACCAACATGTCCGGAAGATGAAAAACCATCGAATGGCGTAGGCATACCCAAGATGATGGGGGTGAATTCTGGAAAGGGTTTAAACCCAGCATGGAACTTGGAATGGCTTTTGGTTTCTTGAGAGTTTTGGCTTTAAAGTTGGATCATCCATGGAAACATTGTTGTATCTTGCTGTTTGACTACATGAAGATCCCCCTTAACAACTTGAAGGACTACCTCTGTTCGACTGTTGAAGCACTGTGGGTTTGGTAGTAACAGTGAATGTTAGCAGATTGCGAACAAAGTTGAGGTTTTAAGACCTATCACTCTTTCTCGAGTGTGGAGAAGTGGGCATGTAACTACCTATTATGTATGTTTGTTTTTGCTATCTTGTTTATTAAGAGCATTACTTTATTGAATAACAAATCACCTCTGACGGTTGTTCTCGTTAAAATAAATATTTAGCCCCTTATCTTATGAAATTAATAAGTTTTAGTCTCTAATTTTATAATATTATATTTTGAGCTTTTTATTTTACAAAGTTAATAAGTTTTAACCCTTAATCTTACAAAATTGGTAGATTTTAACCCATTACTTTATATTATAACACTTTTAACCCCTGTGCGAATTGAAGAAAATAGCCCTTATTTAACATCAAGTTTTAATGTTTTATTAGTTATGTTAGTTGACTGTCAATTCTGTTAGTTGAGTTTCAGTTTTATTAACTAACTATTAGTTTTATTAATTGACTGTTAGTATCTGTTAGCATTCCATTAATAAAACTAACAAATAAAATTGAATTTAAGTTTCATATTTTTTATAACGGAATGCTAACATATGTTAACAATCAGCTAACAGATATTAACAGTTAATTAATAGAATTAACAGAACGTTATAATCTGATGTTAAGTGAGGGATATTTTTTTTAATTTGTATCGGTGATGGGTTAAAAATATCATAATATAAAGTAAAAGGTTAAAACTTATCAATTTTGTAAGGTGAGGATTTAAAACTTATCAATTTTGTAAGATAAAGGATTAAAACTGTTATGTTATAAGATGAGGGGTTAAAATTTATCAATTTTGTAAAGTGAATGGCTAAATGCTGATTTTTTCCATTGTTCCCTAGGTTCAAAATGTTTGCTAAGGCTTCAACTTCAAGCACTCAACTTCTCTAGTGAAGTGAAATTCCAGCGTTTCTTTTCAGCCCTCACAGGATACCACATCTGGCTTCCTTTCGAGTAGTAGTGTATTTTTTTGTTTCTATATATATTTGCTCTGTTATATTGTGGTCTAAAACTCTGAATGGATGGCTTATGAAATGGATGGTTTATGTCTTGTGTTGTAGCTTTCGTCCGCACTTGTGTTGGATGGTTTGTTTTTCTTTCCTTTAAGGGCAAATTTCAATAAAAACAGGTATGCAAATCACTTGGTTATTAAACTGATCTTTTCTTTCACATTTCAGTATTAGCTATACAATATCATACCCCCTCTATGCTGGTGTTCATATTTGAACTTGATTGTTCTTATAGGAAAACTTTGTAGAAACAAAAGTTTTAGTACAAAAGTCCATCTAGTAAACTAAAGCTTAAAATTTAAGATATCAAAATACAACTTCACCAAAAACTCAATCATATAGAATAATTTAATATTTTACAATATCAAATCATGTTTAGTAATCTAAGCACAAAATATTAATTATTAAATTAAAAAAAGTTTCTAACATTAAACGACGTGTAAATAAAATTTTAGCCTGAGTGACGCGTAGATAAAATTTTATTTTTTATTGATTTGATAGATTATACACATCATGCATTACACATTGTTAGGAAATTTTTGGCTATTTTGTTGTTTTAGGAGACTTGACTGATAGTTTTGAAGTCATTGGTTATTGAGTATCGCTTACAAAGCGACGTTTAAAGGATTTTTGTGCTTAAGTCAACAGCAATGCTATAATCCCATTAAATTTTTAAATATTATATTTTTAAATATTAATTTAATTTAATTATTAAAAATAATTATAAATAATAAATAATAAATAAAAATAAAAATAAATTTAAATATT